CCTCCTCCCTCTCCCACTCCTCCTTCTCCCTCTCCCTCTCCCACTGCTTCTTCTCCTTTTCCTTCTCCCCCTCCCACTCCGTCTTCTCCTTCTCCCTCTCCCACTCCTTCTCCTCCTCCTCCTCCCTCTCCCACTCCTCCTTCTCCTTCTCACTCTCCCACTCCTTCTTCTCTTTCTCCCTCTCCTTCTCCCCCTCCTTCTGCCCCTCCTCCTTCTCCCTCTCGCTCTCCTTCTCCCTTTCCCACTCCTTCTCCCTCTCCCACTCCTTCTCCTTCTCCCTCTCCCACTCCTTCTTCTCCTTCTCCCTCTCCTTCTCCCTCTTCCTCTCCTTCTCACTCTCCCATTCCTTCTTCTCTTTCTCCCTCTCTTTTTCCCTCTCCCTCTCCCTCTACTTTTCCTTCCCCCTCTCCCCCTCCTCCTCCTTCTGTTTCTCCTTCTCACTCTCCAGCTCCTTCTTCTCCTTCTCACTCTCCTGCTCTTTCCCCCACTCCTTTTTCTCTTTCTCCCTCTCCCTCTCTTTCTCCCTCTCCCTCTCCTTCTCCCTCTCCCACTCCTCCTCCTCCTCCTCCTCCATCTCCCACTCCTTCTCCTTCTCCCTCTCCTTCTCATCTCTCCCCCTCCTTCTCCTCCTTCTCCTTCTCCCTCTCCCTCTCCCTCCCTCTCCCTTTCCTTCCCCATCTCCCTCTCCCACTCCTTCTTTTCTTTCTCCCTCTCCTTCTCCCTGTCCCTGTCCTTCTTCTCTTTCTCTCTCCTTCTCCTTCTCCCTCTCCTTCTCCCTTTCCCCTTCCCACTCCTTCTCCTTCTCCCACTCCCACTCCCTCCTTCTTCTCCTTCTCCTTCTCCCTTCCCTCCTTCTCCCTCTCCTCCTCCTCCCTCTCCCTCTCCCACTTGTTCTTCTCCCTCTCCTTTTCCCTCTCCCACTCCTTCTCCTCCTTCTCCTCCTCTTTCCCTCTCCTTCCTGAATGATATGAATGTCCAGAACCATCTTTAAGAGAACATGACAGTATTAGTTCCCTTTGTTGTAATGTGCAATCTGTAACATGTCCTTTCTCTTTAATGGGACAAGCTTGGAAGGAACCTCATGTGTTCCCTATAGTCAATCACCTTTATAAATGTAGCTTTGTTTCACCCTCAAAACACACACACACCCTCCCTTGGACGGTGCCAAACTACATGCAAGGCATAACCTTTGTGTTTGCCTATCGGCGTTACCTGAAATGCTGATGCATATGTTGCTCAATTAGTATATGGTATGTAATGTATATGTTTTTAGATGTTATGTTTATTTACTAGGGATCCCTGTGTACCTTTTCCTAAGAGGCTTAGTAAAGTATATATTTAAGACAACTTATCTCGGTGTCTGGCAACCTCCTTAAAGAACCTGTTTACTTAAAAAATTACGGATGAGGCCTGAACGAGGAATGAGAAGGCATACAGGTAGATCCTAATTATCCAAAAAGTAGCATCAGCGCCTCAAAAACAACTGTACAAATTTTCAGCACCCCTCATTCTTATGCAAGATGCCATTTGTGAGGTGTAGTTTGACAGACAGTTATTCTGAAAGAAACTCCCTGTTAACAAATGGGAGCAGAAGAGCATTCATATTCCTGGGTTAGCTCATGTTGACTGATTTCTTCTAGGCATGTGGGACCATTGTTGATGCAATGGATTCTGATTCCTGTGTTTCACTGGTTTTGCCAGTGGGTTCTGTGAGAGTGTCTGTTGGTTTTACTAAAACATCTCTTGTTTCTACTGGCATTATTTTTGTTTCTACCTAGTTTGTGGGAGGTCAAAGGATAAAATGATGTTATGCCAGCATAGTAATTGCCAGCACAGTATAATGAAAGGATTGGCCTGTTTATTCCAAAGAGCTACACCCGGAATCAAGACATTATTTACCTACTTGTATTATCTAGACTGTAACACAATATTTATAGCACAAAAGTGTTTGCTTGTTAATAAATCCACCAGAGGGAGCTCCTATGGTATTCTAGGTATAGGAAAAGCAATAGATGGTAACAGACAAATATGATCAGAATTAAAAATATATAGGAATAGCAAAATACTTATTTTGCATACCTGCCCAAGGGGAATCTATTTTTGTTACATATTTGCAGCATCCAAATCTAATGAGGATTCTCATATTCTATAACATATATTTTCAGCTTAATCATGGAAAGTATTACTTAGAAGCAACTGGCACTGATTACAGGTTATGCTGATTATGCTGCCACATAAGTAAGTATAAGATAGCAGCTTTATAATGTATAATTGCTATTTTTTGCTACCAGATACAATTAAGATTTTATAAGATTGAGGTTATGGACCAGATCAGGGGCAGGCAACATTCTGGATGTTCTTGAATGCATCATTCCCATTATCCTTCACCATTGTTGGCTAGGGCTGTTGAAGCAGCAGTCTAATGACATTTGGAGGCCGGAGTTACTCACCCATGGTATGTGACATACTATGGGTTGCTTCATCAGTTGACACATGATGTGCTGGTGCATGTGCTGCTGTGTGCACACATTTAGGGAGAAAGAGTGAGAGAGAGAGAAAAAAAAACTTAGATTGCAGCAAAAAGTTGAAGCTGTACTCCCAAAAAGGAAATCTAGACCACATATCCCAGAGAAGGAGTTGCCATTTCTGCCTCGCTTAAAGAGGCTAGTGCTGCAGATTATGAGGTGTTAACCCGGGTAGCGCACCCATCCACCCCATGAGGAGTAAGTGCACTGTGTAGTGTTTCCCCCTGGAAAACCCATTCTCAATTCAGGTATGTTACACTAAAAGAGAGTCCTCTCTTCAGCTGAGGTATTAGAAAAGCACAATTTTACTTCATATGTTTTACCCCCACTCTGAGTTGTTAAACGACTAAACGACTAAACACAAAACACACTAAAAGAGAGTCCTCTCCTCAGCTGAGGTATTAGAAAAGCACAATTTTACTTCATATGTTTTACCCCCACTCTGAGTTGTTAATTTGGGTAAAAGGCGAAGGTGAGGCTTTCAGGATATGGCCAGACTGAGAGATAACATGGAATCCTCTTATCATGCAGGATGGCTAGAATCACTATACACTGATCAGGCACAACATTAAAACCACCTGCCCAATATCATGTAGGTCCCCCTCATGCTGCCAAAACAGCTCTGATGCATTGAGGCATAGACTCCGCAAGACCTCTGAATGTGTCCTGTGGTATCTGGTACCAAGACATTCACAGCAGATGCTTTAAGTCCTGCAGGTTGTGAGGCAGGGCCTCCATGGACTGGATTTGTGTTCCAACACATCCCATAGATGCTCATACTGATTGAGTTCTAAGGAATTTGGAGGCCAAGACAACACCTTGAACTCTTTGTCATGTCCCTCAAACAATTCCTGAACAATTTTGCAGTGTTGCAGGGTATATTATCTTGCTGAAAGAGGCCACTACCATCAGGGAACACCATTGCTGTGAAGGGGGTGTAAATGGTCTGCAGCAGTCTCTAGGTAGGGGGTATGTGTCAAAGTAACATCCACATGAGGACCACGACCCAAGGTTTTCCAGCAGAACATTGCCCAGAGCATAACACTGCCTCCTCTGCCCTGCCTTCTCCCCATAGTATATTCTGCCGCTATCTCTTCGCCAGGTAAACGATGCACACAGCCCTGGTCATCTACCTGATCTAAAAGAGAACATTATTCATCAAATCAGGCAACCTTCTTCCATTGGTCCATGGTCCAGTTTTGATGCTCACATCCCTTTGCAGGAGCTTTTTGCAGTGGACAGAGGACAGAATGGGCACTCTGACCAGTTTGTGATTGTGCTGCCCCATATGCAGCAAACTGGAGTGCACTGTGTACTCTGACACTTTTCTATCATGGCCAGTGTTAGGTTCTTCAGCACTTTGAGCCACAGTAGCTCTGTTTGATCTGACCAGACAGGCTAGCCTTTGCTCCCCACATGCATCAATGAACCTTGGGTGCCCTTGATTCTGATGCCAGTTCACTGGTGTTCCTTCTTTGCACCACTTTTGGCAGGTCCTAACCACTGCATACTGGGAACATCTCACAAGACTTGCTATTTTGGAGATGCTCTGACTGAGTTGTCTAGCCTTCACTCTCTGGTCCTTGTCAAAGTCACTCGGATCTGTTCGCTTGCCTATATTTCATGCCTCCAACACATGAAATTCAAGAACTGACTTGTCACTTTCTTCCTAATATATCC